GGGGAGGCCAGATCAGAAGGAGCTGGAGAGGAAGAGACCTTCTCGACAGGCCAGAGGTTGGCCCAGTTGCACTTGCATCAAAGAAGGTGGTCCCCATTTCTACCCTCTCCCTGCCACTTCCACCCAGAATTGCCTTCCCCTATTTTATCCTCAGCCCCTAAGAGCCATCAGCACACGTGGAAACACTCAGGGTATTCAGATTAACAAGTGATTACTGAGTAGTTCTGGGTTCCAAGGGGATGCTGGACAGCTCCCCACCCCTGATGGGGCCGTGGGGGGCTGTCAAACTGATGCACCCTCTGTAGAGGTCGCAAAGCCCTGTGCCAAACTTTGGGAGTGTTCCAGATACTATGGCCCATTTCCTGTCTCCTCCTAGCTTCTGTCCCAGAAGGAGAACATGAAGTTGCCGCTCACTCAGATGAAGAAGGAAAGGGCCCTCTCGGTCTGACCGGGTGGGTTCCATTAAGAGAAACCCAAGAGATAACCCACACCAAGGTGAGATGGGACCCTCCTGGGACAGGGGAGGTGGGGAGGAGAGGTGCTTGGGGAAATTTTCCAGCAGTAGCCAGTACTGAGGATTGTGGATGGACACAGGTAGTCCTAGGCCTCAGATGTCAATCAGATCTGGGTTTGCCCCCCTGGGCCCAAGTCCTTTCCAGAGTAGGACTGGCCTCTCTTTACTAGGTGTCTGGGCTCTGGAGGTAAGAGTTCACAGTCTGATAGGTACTTGCATCACCATCAGATCAGTACTGAGAGATCTGACACGTGTCAGCCAAAGCTTTCATTCATCCACTCCATGAGTATTTATTGATCAGCTACTGTGTGCCAAGCACAGTTCTGGGTTCTAGATATACAGTAGCAAATAAGTCACATTCTAGAAGAGGGAGGCAAAAAGTAAACACGTTATAAAATATATGGCATGTCAGTGGAAGTGGAGATGTGGTGTTGTAATTTCAAATAGATTGGTCAGGGGGATCTTATGGAGAAGGTGATGTCCAAGTGAAGGCCAGAAGGGGTTGAGGGAGTAAAGCCCCCTGGGTATTTGGGGGGAGAACATGCCAGGAGAACTGCAGATGCAAAGGCCCTGAGGAGGAAAAGTGCCTACTGTGTTTAAGGATCAGCCAAAAGCAGATGGCAGCAAGACTGGAGGAAGGGGAACGACAGGAAGTGAGGTTAGAGCAAAGACAGGATTCAACTGGGTGAGGATTTACAAACCAGTGTTAGACCTTGGGTTTTACTTGGAATAAGTGGAAAGCCACAGGAAGAAGGAACGAACACAGGAGTGACGTGATATGATTAGGAGGGTCACACTGGCTGCTGTAGTAGGAACAAGACCTAGGAAGGCAAGCGGAAGGGATCAATCTTCCTCCTTTCTCCCCACAGGATCGCCGGGACTGCCACCCGGTGCCTTCCCCTGGCCATGGGCTGTTACCGTCCATCACCCGCCCGTCCCCCTTTGGACTGGCTCAGCGTGTGCCTTCCCCAGGCCCCTCAGCTCTGGTTTGTATCCACAGGGGCTGGGCAGCAGCAGAGCAGACTGGCTGGGATCCCTGCTAGGTCTAGGTTTTGTCACTACTCAGCCACCCCCATCTCTCCCCAGACCTCACATTCAGCGTTGCGGCGTCATGCCATTCGCCCCAAAACCCAATTCACACCCATCCCATCGGCCCCCAGAGCTCAGCAGGTAAGAGAGGGCAGGGGATGTAGCTGGCATAGGAAGGGAATGAATGGGTGCAGGAAGGGTTATGATGTCTCGCTTCTGTCCCAGGTCCGATGTTTGAGCGGCCTCTCTCCTCAGTCTTGCCCTGAAGAGCCTGCCCTGTCCTGGGTAAGTGCCCAAGGCCTTCTGCTGCGGAAAATCCCTCACTCTCTCCTGTTGGCCTGAGACCCAGCAGTTTGAGGTCCATGGGCTCTTTAGAAAATCTACCCAATTCTCCAGCTCTCCCTGCTTCTCTACTGTCTCTCCTGATCTTAGAGCAGGACCTGCAGTGAGGCACCTGGTCCCTTCCTCACGAGGGTGGGACTCCGTGTGGTCTTTCCGCCCCAGCCAGGCTTCCTCACACGGTCCCTCTCTCTTCCCTTGTGGCAGGAGCATATTGCAGTCCGGTTATTTGACCAGGAGAGTTGTAAAAGGTGGCAGGAGGGGCCTGGGGAACCACCTGTGGCAACCCCTTATGGATCCCACCCCACTAGAACCCCCAGCTTCCAGGAGCTGAAGATGCAGGTGAGTCTGAGTGGGCAACAGCTCTGATGCCTGATGGGCAGCGACAGGGCTGGGGAAGGGAGAAGTAGGAGGAGAGTGGGTATGGGAACAGGATGGTTGGGTGGAGACTTGAACCCACATCTTGACGTCCCACTGGTGTATTCTGTCCAACCCACAGCGCATCAGTATCCTGCAGCAGCTTTTGCAGCAGGAGGTACAGGGGCTGGCAGGGAGCAAGTGTGCCCCCCTTAATGGAAGCTCCTCTCTGGATATGGTTGAACTTCAGCCCCTGCTGGCAGAGATTCCTAGAACTCTGAATGCCCCACAGCTTGATCCTGGGGCTTCCCACCTTCCTGAACTGGTACAACACTCTGGACTGCCAAAGCCCTGCCCTCCAGAGGAGTGTGGGGAAGCACAGCTCTGCCCTGGAGCAGAGCCTGCGCTGGCTCAGGCCTGCCCTCCAGCGGAGCTGGGGCCGCCAGAGTCCTGCCATAGGAGGGAGCCTGAGATTCCAGGGCCTGCCACCCGGGAACAGCCTGCCACCCAGGAACGGCCTGCCACCCGGGAACAGCCTTTGGTGTCTGAGGCCTGCCCTCCAGCACAGCCTGGACCCCTTCTGGCCTGCTCCCCTGGGGCAGAGCCTGGGGCATCAGAGGCAGGCTCCCTGGAACCTAGGAGGACAGAGTGCAGCCCGCAGCCCTGCTGCTGTCAGGGGGCTCCAGCGACCACCAGCGTGACCTTCTCCTCCCAACACCCACTTTGTGCCAGCCCCCCTATCTGCTCACTCCAGTCTCTGAGGCCCCCAACAGGCCAGGCAGGTAAGTAGTTGGTTGGAAGGGGTTATGAACAAAGGAGGTCCTCATCTTGCTGGGAGCGGGACCCCTGCCCTGTACCAGGTGATCCCAGGCTTTCTTTTTTTTACCTAATTTGCCCAGCCTGGCTCTCCTTCAGGAAGAGGGGAGGAGCTGGAGCTGGACCTCCAGTCCTATGCTTCTGATTGGCTTGGCCTTTGGTGGGGGCATGAGAAAGTGCAGTATGAGGTGAGAGTATATGATTCCAGAGCCCATCCTGAACTCTGGCCCTTGGACCCTCAGGCCCCAGTAGTCTGGCTCCTCGAACCCTGGCCCTAAGGCAGCGCCTCAAAGCATGTCTGACCGCCATCCACTGCTTCCATGAGGCACGCCTGGATGATGAGTGTGCCTTCTACACCAGCCGAGCGCCTCCCTCAGGCCGCTCTCGGGTCTGCACCAACCCTGTGGCCAAATTGTTGGAATGGCAGGACGCCCTGGTGAGCTTCCCCGCCCACAACAAGCCTGTGGGAAGTAGGAAGGGGCAGGGGCCCATCCTTGGCTCCTTTACAGAGCTTAGTGGGGAAGGGTTGGCTCAGGTCAAGGATGACTAGGCGGTGACAAGGTCTCTTCTCTCCCCAGTGTTTTATTCCAATTGGTTCTGCTGCCCCTCAAGACTCGCCATCATGAGGCACCCACCTCCTGCCCTTCCTTGCTCCTTCCTTCTAGCCCTTATTTATTGTCAGTCCACCCCGTGGGAATGGGAGCCGGCACCCTTTCGTCCTTCAATAAAGTTTCTAAAGTGTCTCAATGTGTCCCTCTGGTCTAACCGAGGCCAGCTACAGCTGTTGCTCTCCAGTTGTCCACTTGGTGGCAGTGTCTTCCACCTTAGAGCCAGCCCTGGGCTCTCAGCTCCTGGGTTCTGCGCGGTGGGTCTGTGGGGAAGGGAGGCAGTCACCCCACTCTGGTTCACCTCGGCGAGCTCTGTATGTTGGGGGACAACACCTATAGTCAGTTCCCTTTGGAGACCTGCTCTTCCCCTTGGCTCTTGAGATGGGTGGTACTTCCGGGAGCCATCAGCAACTCCCTTATCCCCCAGAGCTCTGCTCTAAGAACTCCCTGCATCAGGCACAAAGCTGAACACCAGACCCACAGTCTTGGAACCTCCCCTGTCACTCTGGTTGGTGTCTCCCTGCAGGGGTATCCCACCTTTTGGCATCTCTGGGCCACATATTAAATACACAAATACTAATGAAAACTGATGAGCAAAGAAAAGGTCTGCGCACAATTTGCGGAGTCGTATGGGGCTGCATTCACAGCCGTCCTGGGCCGTGTGTTGGACGCCCGTGCTCAGTGTAAGGCTGGAAGCTCTGCAGAAGCCGATCCCGCCCCGTTCACCCTTCCCACTCACAGCAGCAGCACCGGGCTGCTCCTCCCCTCCTCCAGAGGCAGGCCTTGCTGCGAAGGACTAAACTTTGGTCTCTGGCAGGGTGGGTGGAGCCTCTGCTCCCACTCTGCACCAGTGAAGACACACACACATTCTCTAATATCACTTTATTGGAAGGGGCAACAGCAGCTGTAGCCCCAGGGTTATCCGAGATCCGAGTTAAAATGGTGACTGTGCAGAATGAGTTTTAAATGCTAGGAAGGAATTCACCGGTTCCTCCAGTCCACAGGAAGGCTGCCAAGGCGGGAGCCTGGAGCCCGAAAAATGGAGATGAAGGGAGGACGGGATGGCAAGAAAAAGTTGTGCTGACGGTGGACCAGCACCTACACCGGTCCTAGCGTGGCCTTTCACCCAGACGCGCTCCTTCTGTTTCCGTTCTCTGCCTCCCAAAATGCCGGCTCTGGCCAGTGAGGCCGTCCCCGGACTCCCGGCGGAAGAGAGGGCCAGGACCTCCGCCCCTCAGACCCACTTTCACAGCCCGCCCACCCCACACCCCTCCCCCCTCCTCCCTCCCCCGCTGCACAGGGGCGCGAGCGGCCCCTTCCCGAGCCGCTCTTTCCCTCTAGCGTGGCCTCTGTGCCCCGGCCACTAATACCCCCAAGCACTGAGTCCGCCCACTGAGGCCGCCTTCGGGAGCAGGCGGGTCCACCCCACTGCCCGGCTCTCAAAGGATGGGATGGCGCCTGGGGTGGGGCCGACTGAAAGTGGATGACGAGCTGAGCGGAGATGAAGGGCAAGCGAGGGACGTTTGGATTGGGGCCCGGCTCAGTCTGGGTAGATGATGAAGCCAGAGAAAGTGCTGTACTTGTTGGTGTTCCCGCCGTGCACCTTCCCGCCGTCCAGCTTGATGAAGACTTCATCGCCCACATCCAGGTGCAGGATGACGCTGTTGCTGGCGTAGTCGTAGTTCTGGTCTGCATCCTGGGCGATGGCGCTGGCACGGACCTACCGAGGGAGAACAAAACCACCCTTCACGCCCTGTGCAGAGCTGGGGTGGCAAAATGGGTCCAGCAGAGCAGACGCCCCTGGGCCAGGGAGAGGGCACGCAAGGGTAGCTGGCCGCAGGGGCTGAGGAGGACGAGGGGAGGGCAGGAGGCCGCTGAGCTGCTCGGGCACCACGGTCCACTGGCTGTGCCACTCCGGCAAGTTTCGTGCTTCCTCTGGTCCTTAATTGGAGCCGTAAGGTGGGAGATAATCACAGAGCCTACCTTCTAATGTTAGGATTAAATGAGTACTATATGTTAAGTGTGTTAGAACAGTGCTCGATACATAGAAAACCCTATAGCTTTGCTATTATAATTTAAAAATAAAACTAGGGTGTAGGATAATTTCTAAGATTCTGAACGCCCTCTGGCCTCCTAAACTTGCATTCCCAAGAGATAGGCCAAGGAGTGTATCTGTGAATGCGAGGGTGCAGGCCTCAAATGAGAAGGTGCTGAGATGATGCCCATTTCTCCTGGAGCTCCCACTGGCGCACCCACAGGGGGGGCGCCTTCTGCCCCAACAGGTAGCCCCTCCTCCCCTCTGGCTCGCTGCTGCTGGTTGCCTCCCACCTCCCGCCCCCAGCCCTGCCCACAACCCCCGTCTTCCTGTCCCGCGGGGGCTGGTTATTAACTCATTAATTATTCATCATTATTCTAATCACTATTTACTGTCCTCAGGGCCCGCAGCTCCTGCAATACTGAGTAGAATCTGCACGGCCCCTGCCCCCTCCGAAACCAACACACTCTAGATACACTGTCCCCTCCACCCACTCACGGAGACCCCTCACAGGCTACACACACCTACTCATTGCTACCTGCAGGGAGAAACAAGAAACGCTCTTATTTTTCACACCTTCATACCCCTGCAACAACAGACACACTTGTGTCACACATACTCTATCTCACTCCCATAAACACACACACACTCTCTCCCTTTCCCTGGGTTCCTGGGGTGCCCTGCCGGAAGGCACCCCCAATGCAGTGCATGCAGGTGTTGAAGCAGCAGAGTGCTGTTGCCAGTAGCAGGACCCGGGTTCCCACAGCCAAGATGGGCAGGCCTGATGCGGTGAGGCACAGTCGATACCAGCCAGCACCCGAGAGGGGTATTCAGAGGTCACGGCCACATCCCAACATACCCTCTGCTGCTTGGCAGCCCAGGCACCTAAACCAGTCCTCATGTCTGAGGCCTTTCACTCCCCCTGTGTGTGTCCTGAGTCTTCAAGCTAAGTCCTTGGGGGCTGTTCTCCCAGGCCAAGGTGGCAGTGACTGACCACAGGGGCAGAGAGCAGCAGAACATGAAGGCCAGAGGCTGCCAGTGAAGATGTGGGGCCTGGTCCAGTAGGCCTCACATTCTCTGCCTTGCCTTTCCTCTTGCAAGCCCGTCCTTTGCCTCTTTCCTTCTCCAAATCCGTGTCTTTGGGCTACCTGGCTGGCGCCCTGAGCTACCGTACCATTTCTCACCTCCGCCTACTCAGTATCGGCTGAGTGTAAGGCCGCTCTAGAATTGGCCCCAAGCCCTGGGATTAGCAATAGAGCTGATGGTAAGTGAGCCAGTGTTTTTCTCGCTTTTCACCTTTTCCTAAAAAAAAAAAAATCCAAGCTCAATGCCTTCACATTGGAATGCCTGCCGAATGAGCACTGCCAGGGACGTGGCAGCCCAGCATCCCTGGATTCAGTGACACTGTCCGGGGAAGGGGACCGCGCTGTGCAGTGAGTGCAGGGAGATCCAGAAAGCTACCTGGTGAATCTGGGGCTGGGTGGAGAGGGGCATCTCACCTGTCCATTCTTCATCAGGTCAGCCCACATACTGGTGCCGTCTCCGCCGCGCATGAGCACATGGTAAGCGAAAAAGTAGACACCCGGCATGGGGCAGGTGAACTTGCCGCTGGCCGCTTCGTAAGCGTTGCCCACGTTAGTCACCACGTCGTCGAAGCGCAGCACCTCGTAACCCTCGTGTGGCCGCCGCAGGCCAGCGTAGAAGGCAATTCGAGGCACGTAGCCGGCAGGGGGCGCCACGCCGCCGGGGCCTGGGCCGGGAGGGCCGGGAGGACCCGGCCTTCCCGGCTCTCCTGGAGGCCCTCTGGGACCTGGCGGTCCCGGGGGCCCTCGAAGACCTGCCTTCCCGCGCCGGCCCACCTCTCCCTTGGAGCCCGGAGGAAAGGGGGGCACGGAGGCAGGCGCGCCGTCGGGTCCTGGGCCTCGAGGCCCATGCGGGTCGCACACCATGCGACATCGCCCCAGCATCTCGTAGTGCGCCGGCCCGCGGGAGCTGTGCACCAGCAGCGGAATAGCCACCAGCAGCAGCAGCACCATGGCCACCCCGACGGCCGCCCCCGCCACCCGCTTGCGGCGGCTCAGACGCGACGCGGCCAGGGCCAGCAGATCCTCCTCACTCTTGGGCGCAATGGCGGCGGAGGCACGGGGCTCTCCGTGGGCCCCGGAGGCGGAGGCCGGGCTTGCGCCTGGGTCGGGACCACCCCGACGGCCGCGCCTGGCCCCCCAGTCCCCTGCAGGCTCTCGCCTCAGCAGTGCGGTTCCCCAAACCTTCCGTCAAGGCGGAGTCCCGCCTGGGCTGGGCCGGGCCAGCTCCCGACGGTTGGGAGCCCGTGGTCCGCTGTCACCCTCCTGTTCAGCCTAACGTCCCCGGGCGTCTGACATCTGCGGCTCCTTGGGCGGAGGATTTCTTACGGATCTAGGATGCTTGCTCCCTGGGCAGCTTCTTTCTCAAGGATGGCCCGGAGCCTAGGTGCCCAGCTACCCAGACGGATCTCTCCTGGCCGGAGCCTGGGCTCCTCGCCGCTCTCCGGACGTCCCGGGCTCTGAGCCGAGGGTGGCAACCACCGGACGCGATCCCCTCATAGGTTTGCCCAGCTCTCGGCGAGCACCAGCGATCCGCCTTCCTACCCCGCCGCGGCCCCAGCCTCTGCTAGACTCAGGGCCCCGCGCGCCTCCCCTGCTAGCGCATTCCCTCTCTGCGTCCCTAACCTACCTACCTCCCTCCCGGGTGGCTGTGCCGGCGCTGTGAGCAGCCGCGCGCCAGGAGCCGCTATAAGCGACCCGCGGCGGAGCGACCCCTGGCGCCCAGAGTGGGAAGCGCGGGGGCGGGGCAGGCAGCGGCCCCCACCCCCGGCCCCCAGCCTCTCGGTTGATGCCGGGCTCAGCGGATTCTGCAGGGGTTCACTGTTCCCACCTGGCCTTACTTTCAGCCTCTATCCCGACTTGAGTATTCCTAGAGCCCGGAGGAAACCAGAAATAGCGATGGGATTAAAAAAAAGGGGGGGGGTGAGATACACACACAGAAAAGACAGAGGTGGATTCCTGAGCTAAAAAGAGCTTCCCCACGCCCCCCAAAAACAAGAAAAAGGAAAAGAAAACCCAACAAACAAACAAGAAGGGCGAGCAAAAAGAAATTTACCACACCACACCTCTCAGTGCCCATGATGTGAATGTCAATCGGGTGGTAAAGGGTTCGGTGGAACATGTTGACTTGAACTGGAAAAGGCAAATCTATGGCCACCCTTCCGCTCGACCCTCAGCGCTGGGGGGCGCGGAGCAGCCGAGGGAGTGAGGGAGAGGAAGAGTGAGAAGACAGACTGCCTGTGGAAGCGAGCAGGAGGCCGGCAGGAACGCAGGGAATGGAAGGACAGAATCAAAGAGTCAGAAAGCCAGATGGAGACGGAGAGACAGAGACGAAGCTTGGAAAAGAGACTGACTGACAGCCCCAGAGCGGGAGAAGGGGAGACAGAGGCAGAGAGAGAGAGAAAGGAGCCGAGACAGGTTGACGGATCGAGAGAGAAATGTAAATGGCGCGCTGCAGAGAGGCACCCAGGTCCGTGTTCGGACTCCAATGTGACATATCAACTGTGGGGAAGACAGGGGGGCAGGGCGGCTCTTCAGCGGAGTGGTAGGCTCTGGGCCCGTGCGTTGTGACAGTGTGCTGGCAGGTGCGGACGTGGCCATGGGACCCCGGACTTGTGTGTCCCTGGGTGAGTGAGATTGTGGATTGTGGTGTGTGTGTGTGTGTGTGTGTGTGTGTGTGTGTGTGTGTGTGTGTGTGGGCTGTTTGAAGGGAGGTTTTATATTTGTCTTTCTCTTAGTCCTTAAATATGGGACCCTGTGAATGCCGTCTCAGGACTGGGCAGAGTGCATTGGGGAAAACAGTCAGAAAGCAGCTCTGGTCCTTTGCTCCGGCCAGCGCAGCCTAGCTCCAGCTCTGCCCCAGTCCCAGATTTTGTCCAGCCCTAGGATTTCTACCACCTTCCTCCCCCCTTCCTCATAGGTCTATGGTTACATTGAAACCCAGAGAAGTTGGACCCCACATAATAACTATTTGAAGCAGAAGTTTGAAGCTGGTTATGCAAATTACCATAACCCAAATACAGATTAAGTGCCAGGCAGCCTCCCTCCGGTAAGAGGTGACTGCCTGCCATTCAGGGTGACCAAGAGGGAACTCAAGCTGTGATAGATCCTTCCCTGAGATGGGTCAGAGTCCAGAGAAAAAGCTAGTGGCGCATTCTTCCTTAGGGTCTGGCATCTCCAAGAGAAAGTGCTTGCTTCCAGGGACCCTAGGGCCAGAGGCTTGGAGAAGGGGCTCTGGGGCAGGCAAAGTGGGGATGTTTGAAGACCCTGAAGGTGGACAGCTGCAAAGGACCTCTTAGGGACCAGCATAAGCCAGGACTGTGATGAATGGGAATATGATGTGTAAAACGGAGGGCACAAGGCACACTGCAGCATAGATATTGGGTGAAAGTGATTTTCTCATTTCTCGTTTCCTGTACCCCTTTCTTGCCTCCCCCAGCCCATACTGCTTCAGGGAGAAAGAGGTTGCTGAGGCTGGGCCTGTATGGAGGGAAGCTCCTACATGTTTGAACGGGTTAGGAGAAAAAGAATTGGCAGTCGGGGGGGAGGGGCCTCCTCCTCCAACCGTAAATACAAATTTTATTCAAGGTCTTTGTCGCCATTTATCTTCCTGGGGTGGGGGTGGGGGGCTGAGGGCCATGTCTCCCCGTGCATGTTTAATTCTCGATCTGCTCCCCCAGGCTGGATGATGGATGGATCAGAGAGGAGAGAGCAGGCCAGGGCTCGCGTCAGCCTCCCCTGCCCAATCCTCGAGCCCACTGACCCCAGGTCCTGCCACCCCTCTCCTTCCTGCCTCGCCAATGGCAATCTTGCTCAGCCCCACTTCCATCCCACTCTTCCACTCACCAAGTCCCTCTTTTTGAGCCCCTCACCTCAGCCCCCTTCAGGTCCCAGCCCTCTTCTCTCTGGAGCTTCCCTCTCCTCCTATCCCTGGCCACCCAGGCTGCGGAGCTGCGGTGACCAGCAGGGCTGCAGGCGGCAAAGGGTGTGTGTGGTGGGGGGAGCAGGCTTGGTTCACAGGGAGCTGAAGGGCCAGCTCCATGAATTTATTCATGTTCTGTTGCTCTTTCCCCACACTCTGGAATGAAGCTGCCAGCTCACCGGGTCCTTATTGCTTCGCCTGCAGCTGTCACAAGGAGGGATCTGGGTAGGGTCAAGACCAGTCCATGCTCCTGAGGTCAGAAGCCAAGTATCTGGGCTCAAGAGGAAATTCTGGGGCCCAGGCTGCTATTTGGGATGATTTATCCAGAGCTCCTCAGGCAGCCAACCTGGGAAGCCCCAGGGAGGTCTCCAGATATGGTTGGGAATGGGAGGTAGACAGAGAAGGCTGTGCTACAGGGCACAGAAAGAGCAGTGGAGATGGGGACAGGCTGATGGGGGAGAAGAGGGGAGAGGAATCCCTCAGGGAGTCCCTTAGGGTCCCTTATATGAAAGCACAGCTTAGTCTCAATCCCACCTTTACCTCCACCCTCGACTCTGCACTAACCCTGATCCTAACTCTAAATTATACACTTGACTCCTCTCCAATGCCAATATTGAACCCTGACTCCATAACCTCATTCTAAATGGAATCCATCCTTTCCTGGAACCCAAGGTTCTCCCAAGAATTTTCCCCAGGGCTTAAAGTCAGGTGTGCCTCAGAGTTGTGAGGATCAGACTTTTTGATTAGCATGTGATTAGCATATGATTTGCATGTAATATGTGCATTCTACTTTGTGGAAGTTTTCATGTTAAAATTTCATGAAGTCTAGCAGAAAGGCCCTGGCTTCTTGAGGGCTCTCTTGTTTTTGATCCTTCTCCCACACTCCTCATCACGAACTGAAATGCCCTCAAGGGGAAAAAGGAGGTGAGGAGATGAGCAATGAAGGTCTCATGGGAGAGAAGACCCTGGCAGTGTGATCCGCCCTTTGTCATTTGCAGTGTAACCTCCACAAACCTCAGTTTCCTCATCTGCAAGAAGGAGAGGAACCAGCTGGTCAATGTTATATTAAATCTAAGGAAGCACTTTCCCCCCCACCTTGCACTCCCTCCTTCCTCATATTTTAGGGTCGTTCATGATGTGGTTCTCCTCCCTCCCACCCCATACACACATTCTGGCTTTCAGCTCCCACCTCTATGGGAAGCAGCCTGGGTTTCTTGGTACCAGACTAGAGATGAAGAAAAAGGAACTTTGCCCACCTTATAGCATGGACATGGGAGTAACATTATTGAGTGCTTCCTGTGTGTCAGGGCTTTTACATGCAAGTTCCCAATGCATCCTCGCAGCACCCTGGGAGGTGGATATATTGTCTCCATGAGGAAACTGGGGCCTTGAAAGAAAAAAAATGGCTCTTCCTATGTCACCGTGTGAGTGGCAGCTCTAAAATCAGAGTTCCAGTCTCCTAGCTTCCTTCTCAATGCGCTGGAGAAGAGGCACCGGAGGCAGTGGAAGGGTGAGAGAAGCAGGATGGGAGTGCGGAGCAGGATCTGAACGCCTGTTGCAGGGGAGACCTGCGTGTGAAGCCAACAGGGCGAGTTGGCTCCGCGAGACCTCCATGTCTAACCATCAGCACTACAGAGACTGCCACCCAGTGGGTGCTCAATTGCTAGCTAGCAGATGTCAGCGGGTGGTGGCTGCAGAGAAGTGGTGCTCCGACGGAAGAGAAAAGAGGGAGAGAGAGGGAAACGAAGTGAACCTAAAGAAAACGCGCTCAGGAGGCAGCAGGGAGGAGAGCTGGTCTAGAGGACCGAGGACAGCTCTCCTCCTCCCACCACCGGCTGCGGAAACAGTCGTGACCCTAGAGCCTGCCCTCCATCCGCCCCCGAGCGCAGAGGGTCCGTAGACCTCAGGCGCCGGGCAAGAGAGCGAGTGCGCCGCCCAGCCTGAGGCTTCCACTCGTCTGCTGCAGGAGCCCCGGGCACCCCAGTTCACTGCAGCCTTGGGTTCAAAGGACTGCGCCAGTGCCCACAGGGCAGAGGACCGGCTCCTGGCGTCACAGGGAGCGGGTAGAGATCGCTTCCAGGGGGTCTGTCAGGCCACAGCACCAGCTGACTTGTTTCTGCAGCCCTTGACCCCTGGTCAGGTGCAGCTCCTCTCCCCAACGTCCCTCCCCACCTCCTTTTGTGAGCCCCTCGTCCCCGCCGTCCTGCCGCTCCAACCTCCAGTTAATGAAATGTGGTGAGCGGCTGCACAGACAGCTGTCAGACCCCTCATTTCTCCGCCGGGATATTGGATCCCGCGCTGAGAGACAGACAGGTGAGCAGGGGAGGAGTGTTGCAGGGAGCCGAGGGAGGGGTGCAGGCTGGTGAGGGCTCAAAGCCTGGGAGGCAGCGTCAAGCTCAAAGCCTCGAGGGCTCCGCGAAGGGACCTCGGCCCTAGGATGCTCTTTGTGCCCAGGGCCCCCAGCTTTTTTCTCTTGTCCCACAAGCAGGAGACTTAACAAGCCCCACACACCCACCGCGCCCAGACCCGGGTGGACCCGAGACACCTGGCCCCGCACCCTAGGCCAGCCTGGCTCGTTTGTGTACCTCGCGTAGTGTCCCTGATTCCGTGGCCGCGGCCCGGTGCTTCCTCCCACCTCCTTCCATCCCTTCTTTCTTGCTCCCCCTCCTTCTCGCGCTCCCTCCCCGGCGGCCGCGGCCTTTATTAGGGATTCCGCGGCTGTCG